TTGTATATGTGTGTGTGATTTGGGGGGGGATTTTTTTTTGTTTGGGTTGTTTTTTTGGTGTTTTTGTTGTTGTTTTTGATAGGGCAGAGAGAAAAATGTTAGCACACAATGCTGAAATTGGTGGTCAGGTCGTTGAGGCAGGTAGCCGGAAAGTTATCCGAAAAGCGGCAGTCGCTGGAGCAGCTACGTTACTGTCATTCGTCGTGCTAATGTGAGGTTTATGTGCCTTTCCAAGGAAGGTCACTTTTTACACCCCGCACCCCCCCATCCCACCCTGTTTTTTGCTAAGCCGTGCATCAGCAGCGTGAATTCCAAGAAGCTGTAGGTGTTGCTTGGCATTTCGACTGGGATTTTGGAAAGGGAAGCCGGGTATTTAATGGGAAAAAAATTGCGATGGAAGGAAAGGACGTGGAAGCTGCACACAGCCCTGGGTTTGCAGGCGTTTGGAAGTTGTTGAAATAGGTAAAGGGTTGAAATCGGCGACTATTTCTTTAGTTACTTTCATCATGGATGAATATAAGGGAAAACCGGGCCACTAAAAATTTTTTCTGTTTTGCAGTTTGCTGGCAACAGAAGGTAAAACATGTCTTTGAAGATATACAATTTTACATAAACAGCTGATGTTTACGTAAGCCTAGATAAGTTTGTGAAAAGCACAGATAGCAGAAGATGCGGTGTTAGCTGAACTCGGCCATCCTGCGGTTTGTCCATGTAATAATTTATCTTGTGTGTGTGTTGTTGCAGCATAAGAACAAAGTGAGCAGCTGCACCTTTACCAAAGCAACCACCTGCGTTCCTCTTCTCCTCTGGAATGGACAATGGGATGGTCTCTGGCTTTATCATGATCAAAAACTTCTTCCTCTTCTGCGTTTCCATGAGTTTAGCCAGCCACTTCGGGTGAGTTGCCAATTGCATTTGAATTTTTGCTGTGGGTTTTTTAAGGAAATGAAAAACCTTGGCTCTGTGTCGTGCGGCGCAGGCAAACAAAACAAGAGGGCTTTGCATTTCATCTTAACGTGCTGGTGTCAGGGGAAAGGGAGCGATTTGCTTTCCTGCTCAGATTTACTGTCTCATGTCGGTTCTTTATGCCCATAACGCTGTTGCGGGAAAGCTTGAGGGGGGCACGGGATGCTCAGACCAGGCCTACAGCCGGTGGGTGCTCTGACATGGGGGTGGCAGAGCCGGGGGCTGCAGTGCTCCCTGCCTCTGTGTCTGCAATGAGGGGGGCTTGCACCTTCCCTCTCACCTGGTGGGTGCAGGTGATGGGCAGTAGTGCAAGGCTGCAACAGCAGGCTAGCTGGTACGGGTTTTCCTAGTGTGTAAGCTAGGATTGTGACTGCTCAGAAGGATGGCTGAGTTTGAAAGTTGCTAGAATAATTAGAAATTGTGTTTCCCTCAAGCATATAGCAAGGAATCCTGTTTCCTTATTTTTGCTTTGGATGCTTTCCTGACGGTGATATCCTGAAAGCCATATTGAAGAAATACTCCTACTATAGCTCTCAGAAAAAAAAAAAAAAAAGAAACAACAAACAATAAGAAAACCCCTGTTTATAAATTTTTCCTAAAACCAGAGATCTTAACAACTTGCCAAAATTGGGCTATGCAATGGAGTCTAGAAAAAGCGTTTTGCAAGTGCTCGGGAAATGTAGGTTGATTCTTCTTTGTGGAGGAGAACAATTATTTATGATTTCACCAGGAAAAAATGAATCCTCCCAACATGCTGATTCACAAGCACACCCATCAATTCCTTGCTATAAGAAGATACAAAATGGAGATGCAAATCAGTTTCTGGTTTCAAGCAAAGTGATTTTTTTCCAGATTGGAACGAAAAGACCAAACTTTGAGTGATGACGGTCTATACTGTAAGCAAAACTTAGCCCTGTCTCCAGCGTGTGTCCTATGTAGGCAGGTGGAAGCCTCTGACCACAGTAGCTTATATGAACGGTTGTAGGACTGCACACTACAAAGGGTGCAAAGAGCTGCGCACTGATTTATTCACCCTGGAAAAGCTTGGTCCTGCTTTCACTGTGGTCTAAGGCAAAATTCTCCCTGGACTTTATGATAGAAATGAAGAGGGCATAGGTAGTATGGGACTGGTTTTAAACTTGCCTTGACATGGTTGTAATTTGACAAAGTATTACCACTCTGAGAATATCTTGAGGACTATAACCTTAAGCCCTTCCTGATTGTCCATCACCCCTGCAGAAGGCAGCAGATTGCAATAGTTGGGCATGACCAGTTTGGTGTGGCGTCTTTCAACTGTGTTACTCCTCTAACAGAAGAATAGATAGGCAAGGCTAAAAAAAAAAAAAAAAGAGTTCAACTCTCCATTTTGACTCCAAAACAAATACTGAGTCTTAAGTCCCAGGTAGGAATCGGTGTGACCTGTAACCTGGCAGATAATTGGGACAGGACAGTTAGGGGAAACTAGGACACTTGTTTTCTGCAAGTTACTCAAAAAGCTTCTGTGCACTAAAATGAGATCATCACGTATTTTCCCCCCCTCCATTTCTGATCTAGTAATTTTAGTCTGGGCCTGCAGAGATAAGCAGCTCCAATTCGCTGCACCATTCACACGCTGCCTTAGGGCTGAATTTTGACCCTGCTCAGAAGACAGAGGATGCTCCCGCGCTTCTGTTTCAGAGGCAGAAGCCGCTTCAGAGTGTAATTTGCTAAGTGCTTTGGGACTGACTCTTCAGGACAGAATGGTACAATTTACATGTAGGCTGGTATATTAACTGCAAGAATGTAATACTGATAAAACTTGCTGTTGCTACCAGGTTCTTCTTTATTAGCTTCATCCGTGTTTGGACCACACCGTTACATTGCAGTGTGTTTTGCAATGTGCTAGATAAAAGTGATTGGTCAAATGAGCACAAATTAAAAAGCAAAATACATTAGGACATTACAGATGAAAGCAAAGATTTGTCTACGATTCTCCATAGTCGTTGCATATTTATATTAAATCATAAATACAGTTTTTGCTGACATAGCCAAAGCCACCTTAGGGGATTTTGATGCACAATGCCTGGTAAAATAAACAGGAATTATGTATCTCAGTCTCCTAGGCTACTTCAGAAATCTCAGCAAAAGTCTGTGATTAATGTTTAACGTAAGTGTGGAATGACTATCGAGAGTTATCCACATCAACAGGCGGTAGAGAAGGACTGTAGGCATAGTTGGTATAAGTTATTTAAAGAAAAATCACTGAATTAAAATTCAAAGATATAGATGAAATGAGAAGAGGATGTGAAGCCCCCCGCCGTTGTTGGTGTAATGGTTTCATGAGTCTACTTCTGCAGAAACAGTCCAGCACGAGTCAAGGCTTTTTCAAGCTTGCTTGAATTCAGCCTTGAGTTGTATAATGCTCTAATGAGTTAAGGTATTTTACTGAAGCATTCCAAGATAGTTCACAATTGTCTTGAAAGTAAACATTAATAATAGAGCTGGAGAATAATTAAAAGTCAAATACAACTGTGAAGAGTGTTTTCAGATGAGACAAGAGTCTGATTCCTCATGGGCCCTCGGGGAGCCCACGTAGTGGCAGCCCTGCGAGGGTCGGTGCCGTGAGTGACTGCCTGCACCGAGACCTCTCTGGGATGAGGTGGCTCGTGGTCGGCCCCGTGCCGGCCAACCTTGCTGCATCCTGACCCTTTTTTGCAAGCCCCAGCCTGTCCGCGGGCACATCTCTGGGGACACGCTGGTGACACACAGTCCCTGTGCGTTTGCATTTTGGACATGCAATTTCAGAAATCTGTCCGAGCACCAAAACCAATGGGGATGGACGATGTTGGTGTACCCACAGTTTAGTTGCCATCTGCTACTATTTATAATAGTAGAAACATGGAAATCAGAAGATCCCGGTTAAATGTAGCCAGCACAAGACTCCTGTACACTGCAAGAATTCAGTCCATGGTGTCTGTAGTTTCACATACTTTTCCCACTAGCTCACAGCCCTTATCACTAAGGCTTTAATCCTGCTATTTAGGCTAAATATACCTCTCCCTCAGGCTGTTATTTCAAGTTAGTCTCTGCAACCCTAAGCAGTTAGTTCTGCTGGGTTATCCCTTTCCAAGTACTTGTAGACGCTAGAGAGTTCTTCCTCATATTTTTAAGACTCATTTTGTAAGAATTATCATATCCTTATGCAGTTATGCTTGCCTATTTAATTTTTTTTATCCTGTTTTCCTTTCCTTCTCTCTGTCTCCAGATAGCTTTTTGAACCCATTAGACAATTTTAATAATTGGAAAACTAAGTGGGTACCTAGAACTGCTTGGAGGAGGCAGACGGACGTCAGTCAGTCCCTCTGCCGAACAGAAAAGCTACAGCTTCAGCATCTCTCTTTTGCTTCATCTGCCAGCTGGCCAAATAGCAGGCATGTACCTGCAGGCCATCCGGCACGTGTTTGGTGCAGGATCAGCCCTGGCACCCATTGCCTCCTCGGGAAGCTGCAGGTCGGTAACCCGGGGAGCTGAGAGTATTGGGAGGTGTTTAAGGACCCTGGGAGAAATTCAGGATATTATAAAAGGACGTTAAGGTGCAGGGAGATGAGGACGATAAGACTTCGCCCTATGAAAAACAGGCTTTCCTTGCACTGCTCACAAATTGCTTGTTCTCAGAAGGTAGTAAAATACCGCTCTTGCTAAATAAAAGAATTAAATTATCCTTTAAGGAACTGCAAAGACCATTAAAGTTTCATCATTTTAGTCAGTCCTCTCCTCTGTCCTAATCCGATGTGAAAGAATTGAATCTTCATTGCACAAATTCACAAAGTATCAGCATTTTTAGATCTCAAGAATCAGTAAGGAAGGGATGGCAAGAAGCTAACTTAGAAAAGCAGATCTATTTCCTTTGCTGTCTGGCCAGCTGGCAGTATCCAAAAGAAGTGTGCAAGTGCATTCTCCACTGTCTTTTCCACAAACTGTTAATTTGTCTGAAGTTCTGGTATAATTCCAGTCCTATTAAAGGAGTTATTTGAAAGTCTACTCTTAAGAGAGAGAGAAAAAAAATACAACTTTTGATGGCAAATTACTCCTCAGTTATTTTTCCAGTATCTTTTATCTTTTTTTTTTTTTTTTTAAAGTTTTGGGAAAATCATGAAATATCTACCATACGTTTTCTTCTTATTACAACTAAACTATAAATAGCACCTGTCATGATTTTGACTAGATGGCAGAAAAAGACAGTGATGTTTAAAATGGTGAACGATTAACTCATCGGAAAAGGTAGCTGAGCATCTTTAGAGAGTTACTACATTTTACACTGATGGGCCCCTTCTGTGGCTTCTGATTTTTTCAGTCACCCTGAAATTGCAATATTAAATAAATGTGATGAGCAGTATTCCTGGTTGGTTTAGTTTATGTTCAATAATGAGCATTAAATGTAATTATCTTTGAATTTGCTCAGCATTCTCCTAAGGTTTTTTTCTAGGTTTATTTTTATCCATGACTGAAAATGTCTGCTATAAAAACAATTTTGGTTGCAGAGAGGCAATAATGTGCTTACCTACTAATATGTTGATAAGACGTAATCTGTAGCTGTGTGGAAATAATTAATTTAGAATATCACCTGTTTTTTCTCTATTCATAGAGCTATAGTATCTAATATATGCACGTAACTTTGCAAGTACAGTTTAAAGGTCTTAAGTCGCAAAACAACCTCAGCACTTATTCCAAAATATGTATTTCACCAGCAATCTCAAAAACAGAAATTAAACGTTAACTTTTCTGCGAAAGGAAAAGTAACATTTGCGTTAATGGCAAATAGTAATCCATCTACAAATGAAACTTCACATAATACTGACATTTCGCTGAAATTCAGCATCAGATGCCTTCTTTTTCGGGTGAAGCGATCTGCCAAATCTAAATTGGATTGCAGTTTTGCAGATGAAGTGCAGACTTTTTATGAGTCTTCACCCTAGTTGTTTCTCTGTTTCCTCTATTACTTAGCTTTTCTTGTGGAGGTACAAAAGTATTTCTGTATTTGAGGTGTGTGTACTATTCTTGTGAAAGGTGTACATAGCTGAGATAGAAGGAGGCAGCATCGCTCTTGTTAGATTCAGAGGAGCAGTTACGAGAACTAAGTATATTTTGTCCCATCCCCACCAAAATAGTTCAATGGAAATCTTCCCTCTGAGTTCAATTGGCTTTGAATTCAACCATAAGCACTAAAAATAACAAGCTTTTTTAAGAGCAGAGAAACTAGTGAAGCTTTGTATCCTGTGCCCCCAGCACCGTACCTTTGCAATAATCCCGGCTCCGCGTTTGACATCCCTTGTTCCCATCTCCCATTGCAACATCTACATTTTACCTCTGCCATCCTTTTCTCCCAGGATCTTTCCTAATCACCCTGCAAGTCTCCTCCATATGTCTTAATTAGCAGAGAGGAGGTGGGCTGGTTTTGCTGAGGCTGTTCCTGAGCTACACGCGTGCTGACTGGCCCAGTCAGTAAGCCAGAGGGAATAGATGACTGCTGACCTCACATTTTTACTTAATGAGGCACTAATTTAGATCGCTCTCCCCTTGTCTAGTCACTGCTTCTCATGAAACTTGTAGGAACGAAATGAAGTTTGATCTCTCTGCTTCTTTGTCAGATGCATTGGAAAATGGAAACGGCTTCCTACACTGATATAGTGAAGCAGGGAGACAGCATGATGCATATCTCTTTCTTATGAAAAAAAAAAAGAAGCTAAAATAAATGAGAAGAGTTTAAAATAGTATTCTAGGATTTTACCAAAGCGTTAGTTATGGTCGCTGCATATGAAGAACCTCTGTAACTTCTGTCTCCTGTTTGTATTTGTTAGGCTGCTGCTTGTAAATATTCACCTTTAGGTGGTGAATCCCTTTGATTACAACTGATGAAAAAGTATACAGTCTTTTGTCTTGAATGCTCCAGTGTGCAAGGGTCTCTAATGTTTCTGTAATCAGTTTGCATCTGCTGGATTAGCTGTCTTTCATTATAGTCAAACATGTCTGCGATGTTGTCTGCCTCAGTTAGTCACTAGAGGTTGTAGTCACAGCATAGAAAACAGAAGTAATTTCATCTTTTGACCATGGAAGGATGGGATGGCCTGAAAAATGGGCAAGATTTGCGGCTATGCCTCTGCCTGCAGCAAAGGGGAGCTCCTTGGTGGCCTTGGGCTCTCCAGCGTTGACCTTGAGGGTCGCAGCAGTGCCAATGGCACTTGGGCTGCGAGGAGCCTTCTCGGTCAGGCGTTTGCATGTTCCTGGGAATCGGACCCGTGTTCCCACTGCCCGGCCTTGCTCCCCTTTCCTGAGAGGCTTTGTAATCCTTTCCTTTTCCAGCAGAAATACACAAGCTGCAAAGGGAAGAGGTGCAGGAGCGGGGGTCCCCATGTCTGTGAGGGGCTACGTGGCCACCAGCTGCTTGTCCTGAGCCAAGTCTCGTGTCACTAAAACTTCCAGACTCATTACATGGGTGTCAGCGACATCCCATTTGTGCAAACCTTGTGCAGGTACAACCAGGTTGAGGTCCCCTGTCTTTCTCTGTATAAATCCTGTTCTGTTAGGTAAGCCTAACGCATGTGCTACAAGCATTCTGCAAAGCAAGCTGTTCAGAAGGATGCTTTGAGGTTCTCTATTTACTGATTTATTTCCCTGGGGACTGGTAGTAAATAAACATGGATTTTTCAAATTTTTTTATCTCTGGGTGACTGGCTCATGTTAAGTTTGGGTTGTTGGAGTGTAAGTGATTCCTGTCTGCTGACAGGGTGCATGAGACAGGGTACGGTTCCGAGTGGGGCGATGTCCCCTGTCGCAGCTGGCACTTTCAGCAGAAACTGAAACTTCAATAAGCACTGAGTGTGAGCAAACTTGCTGTCTTAAGAGATGCTCATTGCTTGCTGCAGGTGAAGCATACTTACGGATAAACTTACGTGTCTGTTCCTTAGGTAAGCAAATGCATTAGTAGGCAGAGGATTCTCCTAAGCATCTTTAAATGAAAATCAAATGGACTTAAAAATGCAAGTTACAGTTGTGCTGTGAGCAGCTTCCTACATCTGAGACATGAATATAATGATGAAATAAAAAAAAGTTCAGAATATAAACAAATCTAGCCCAAAAGATATGGAATCAGGCCCACTACACATTGCTGTTATTTGCATACTACAAGGGAGGACTAATTTATGCAAAAGAGAGAGGAGGAATGAAGACCTGTGTTTTCTGTACTGCAGTATGTTTTTTCAGATACTCCAGTGATCTGGGGTGGGATTTTTGAATGCAACGGGAGTTTGTTATCCTCAAATAAGATTAAAGTTCATCCTTTGTTCTGGCAATAAATTATGTAAACTGTGGAAATTAGAAGCTGTTTGGCACGTAAGGTTTAAAGAGTACCTTCAGGCAGACTTGAAGGAGTGTCCCCAGGCAAACCCGAGCTGCTTGAGCAGCTCCCCTGCCAGCTGATGCAGTTCCCAAAGACTGGAGAGCTAACCTGGGGAAAAACCAGTAACAGCTTTTGCTGGCCCGGTGAGCTGACCTTGCTCCCCGCAGGGGACAGAGACATGCCAGCACTGGGGAAGTGCTGGGGCTGGTGGGGCAGGGCCGTGTCGGGGACCGGGATCTCCCTGTGCATTGCAGCAAGAGGGTCAGTGGGCTCAGGTGTTCCCCAGTCCAGTGCCGCAGGGCTGTACCTCCATGTCATGGGTCCTTCCTTGGGTCCTCCTCCTCTAGGGACAACCATTTATGATTGCTTACAGCAGCGATGAGATCACCGCAGCTCCCCGTGCCGCTCAGATGGAGCAGCAGGAGAGGACAGAGGCTCGGAGGCTCCGCTACAAAGTTCCCTTGAGACTGAAGCCCCGTGAGGCCGGCACAGCTTTTGACGTGTTTCTTTTCGTTTGCATAAAATAGCTTCTCACAAACGCCAACAGCCTCGGGAAAAGAGGACGCCAATGATAACATCACTATATTCACCAGGATCTTGGATGGTCTGCTGGACGGCTATGACAACCGACTGCGCCCGGGACTGGGAGGTAGGATAACGCGTTCGCTGTGGCCAGTCCCCCACTATGTGGGACCATTGTCTACATGATGCCCTCCCGAATGGGCACCTGCTCTCAGCACAGGCCTTGACAAGGGAGTTGTGTTTCATTAGCTAAACAAAGCCCAGAAAGTAGATTTGTCTCCTGGCAAATGGGGCACGATACAAAGGTCACTGGAAGTTGTCTTCTTTCAGCCATTGATGTCATCTGAGGCTGGGTTAGGAGAGTATGTGTGATGAGTTTTTTCTGTAATTGAATACAGTTTGGATTTCTTTTCTTTCTGGTACTCCCTAAGGTGAGCGAGACGGGGTGCTCGCAGGTTGCTGCAAGGTTCCCTCACTGGTCAGCATGTATAAAATTATGCCGGTGACAGAAATCTCTGTTAAAAACAGATCCCCAAACTATCCATTTTTAGACAACCACAGAAAATCTGTATTGATATGTCATTTTGATAACCTCTACAGCAGCTATTTTAAAACCATAACATGTGAATAGTTGCTTGCCATCTTAACCTTGTTGAGCCCTCTTTCCTCTCGATCCCCCAGATTTCTCTCATCTTCTACCCATGTGTAAACCATCTGTTATGTTTCTTCCTGGCCCTTTTTTAATCTGGCTACCCCCACCCCTTCCTCTTGTGAGACCAACACATTGCTTTCATTCCTTTCTCTCCTTCTCCTCTCACTTTACACAGAGATGCTTGAAAATAGGGCTCGATGCTCCTATCTTATGTAACGAACTTCTGAAATTTCTACCCTTAAATTAAATTAGTCCTGGATTTGAAAAGAAGCCAGAAAGACTTAAAGTCTTGAGGGTAGAATTAGTTTCACCTAACTTTGGACATCTATAATATAGATGCCTGAAACTGGGCAGATCACCCAAGCCAGCAGAGGGGAATAGGTCCTTCCAAGATGCGCTTCATCTCATCCTATAGTAGGTATCGAATATGTGATGGCAATGTGTGCTCACAACCCAGAAAGCCAACCATGTCCTGGGCTGCACCCAAAGCAGTGTGACCAGCAGGTCGAGGGAGGGGATTCTGCCCCTCTGCTCCGCTCTGGTGAGACCCCCCTGCAGTACTGCCTTCAGCTCTGGGGTCCTCAGCACAGGAAGGACATGGACCTGTTGGAGCGAGTCCAGAGGAGGCCACAAAGATGATCCGAGGGCTGGAGCACCTCTGCTGTGAGGACAGGCTGAGAGAGTTGGGGTTGTTCAGCCTGGAGAGGAGAAGGCTCGGGGGAGACCTGATTCTAGCCTTTTACTACTTAAAGGGGGCCTACAGGAAAACTGGAGAGGGACTCTTTGTGAGGGGACGTAGTGATAGGATGAGGAGTAATGTCTTTAAACATTAATTCTACCCTCTTTCAGGGTAGATTTAGGTTAGATATTAGGAAGAAATTCTTCCCTGTGAGGGTGGTGAGGCAGTGGCAGAGGGTGCCCACAAAAGCTGTGGATGCCCCATCCCTGGAAGTGTTCAAGGCCAGGTTGGATGGGGCTTTGAGCAACCTGGTCTGGTGGAAGGTGTCCCTGCCCATGGCAAGGGGGTTGGAACTAGGTGGTCTTTAAGGTCCCTTCCAACCAAATCATTCTGTGATTCTATGATCCATGTTCAAAACCTGTCGATCAGAGGAATTGCACCCTTGAAGGGCCTGTTTCTTTCCACTAATTTCAAGAAAAGAGCCTGGGCTCCCAAAGGTCAACAACTGCATTTGATCAGGGATGAAATTCCTTCTCAAACATCTTAATTTCAAGCTTTTGGGTATTTTTGAGTGATTCAGAAATTAACAGAGAAATGCATCACAAGCACGTATTTGCATCTTAAATCAATTGCTAATGCAGACCCTGTATTTATTACAGAGAGAATAACTCAGGTGAAAACAGACATCTATGTTACCAGCTTTGGTCCTGTGTCAGACACAGAAATGGTAAGTTCAAGCACGTGGCTGCCAACTCCATTGTATTTACTTTGCTAAAGTCATTTTTGGAACCATCACTTCTATTCAGATTCTGCAATACCTCCACTGTTTCTTTGTGCCAGGAATACACCATTGATGTATTTTTCCGACAAAGCTGGAAAGACGAAAGGCTGCGATTCAAAGGACCTATGCAACGCCTCCCTCTTAACAACCTGCTCGCCAGCAAGATTTGGACCCCGGACACCTTTTTCCACAATGGCAAGAAGTCTATTGCTCACAACATGACAACCCCAAACAAACTTCTGCGCCTGGAGGATGACGGCACTCTGCTGTATACCATGAGGTAATAACCAAGATTGTTTTCTTCCGATGCTGATTCCCAACTAGCTCTGCAAATACTTGCGGGGAGCGTCACTTCCCCCACTCCTAGTAGAGCCAGGCAACCAATCTTTCACACATATTTATGTGAATATCAAGAAAAATGGAAAACATAGTCGCTGCCTACAAGTATCAATTAATTTGTAGCTTCTGAATACTGCTAGTACTTAAATATTTCCTTTGATTAAATGGAAGGCATGTTCTCAACAGATTGGATGATTCAGTCCAGCTTTTTTATGAAGATCTGTTCTCTCTTACTGTTTGTATTTGCAGCTGCAGTGCTGATTGCAGGAGAACTGTCTCCAAGGCCAGAAACCGAGATCTTATTCTGGGGCAGTACATCTTGAACCCTTGGAGCTTTTATTATTATTTTTTTCGATTTCACTAATAGTGCTAAAAGGCAAATCATCATAGGGATAAATGAAATAAGCTACCAGCACTGTGAAACTGCTTTAGCAAGTACTTTCCTGAAAACAAAGCTGGCACATTATATTGACAGAGAAGTAAATTGGTGTCTCGGATCTTCAGGGTCATGCTCCTCATCTGATTAAAGGATACTGTCAAGCTTCATCATTGCATAACCTAGATATAAGACACAATATCAGTGATGTAAGAGGACGGTCTGAAATTCTTCTCAGGCCAAATCCCACATCACTGTACAGCAATTTGCTCATTAAAGGTAATTAGCCTGTAGTAATTAAGACTGCCATCTATCTTCAACAGGATTTTCTCCAAGAGTGTAGTCATATGGACAACACTTGAAAAAGAGATGAAAGGAAAAACCTACCGAGCAACAAAGTGTTATTCTGAGCTTTTCACATATGAGCCCAGAGTGGTACCAGAGACCCAGCAAGGTGCTGGGGAGCCTGAAGTTAGGTGCTGAGATGCCCAGGTTTTCAGCAGACAGCCCCCAGCGAAGGGAGGGGGGAAGCTGATCTCCCAGCGGTACCTCAACCCACTGCAGGGCCGGTACTGTGGGGCAGAGCCGACAGCCACCCGGTGCCACGCATTGGGAGGGCGAGCCCTGAGCTTGCTCCTGGGGCCCAGTGGTTGAGACTTGTTGGAGCTCAAAGGGATTACGCTTATGTATGCAGGCACCTGGAGCTTCCCAGGTTTCATTTCAGGTGTTTTCAACCTGTTTTATTTATTTATTTAATTTGGCCCTAGCCTTAAATCCCTTCTTCTGAAAGGAAAAGAGATTTACGAGAAGCAAGCTATCCTTACGTAAGTCCTTACCATTTTAGATCATCACAGTTGTAACTGCGCTAGCGCTAAAAAGACTTAGGCATGATAGAGGTCATGTTTAAAAGAAGAAAAAAAGCCCCCGTTTTCTCTTCTACTATGTGTATTGCTGTTCTTGCTAGCCCCAAGTTAGTGATCTCTGCAGTAATAATCTGAAGCAATCTGAGGATACACATACATGGTTAAATGAATAAAAGTCAGAATAACTATCAGAGAAACTTATTTTCACAAAAATATTTGTAACGCCAGCCTTAAAACCAGTCTCACTGCTGCTGGAACTACACTAGCACCACTCCAGAAACTGCTGCAGCGGCAATTCCTGATTATCTGTGTAAATTACTTGTGTAAGTAACATCCAGATCAGTCTCTTAGTCAGCCTGGAGCAAAACGTTACGTCGTGTGGCGGATTTGCAGCTGACATGCTATTTCTGGGCAAGTACTGGATTTTGCAGTGTTAAAGAAATGCAACGAAGCACCGATTCATGAGGCAGTGAGCTCAGCGGAGTGAGACCTAGGTGAGCTCGCCGCTGAATCTGAGTTATTCTGTGAAGGTGCCTCTCCTGTGAGCATGGCAGAGTATTGTCACATGAGGTGCCACAGGCTATAGGTATATTGAGGAAAAGACAGTGCCCTGCTCAGCGTGTTCAACTGTGGAAAAATTTGGGTTTGACACAGACTTTCTCATCATCCCACTCAGTCCCTTTTCCCCTGTTTTTTGCAGGGGGAAAGCTTTTGGGATTGATATTTTTGTAGGCTACAGGAAGACACAGAATGCTTTTGTAACCTAAAAAAACATGCAACATAACTTTTTTTTTTTTGGTAGAGTATTGTGTGTGGGTGTGCATGTGTGTGGAAATAAATTCCCACTAACCATGGTGTATGTGATAAGAAATGGAGCGCAAAGCTTTTTAAATAGCTTGCCTTCCACTATTGCAAGTAATAACTTTAAAAATAAGAATGTCTATGCTATTCTGTTTAAACACAAGTCAGGAGACTGCTTTTGTAACGTGGAGCTGTGCTACTTTAGGGATAGCAATATTTTGTGATGGGCATTTCAGCAGTGTGAGCAATGCTGTGCTGCGAGGTGGCTTGAGGATCCCATCCCAACCTGTGCAGTGGTGGCTGCGACATGCAGCCAGCCCCTTCAGCTGCCTTTGCCTGTCCTGAAGAAGGTAACAGCTCAGCAGCACTACCTAGGATGGCTTTCCATGAGAAGATAGGCAGCACTGGGCCTTTTAAGGGAAGAGCTGCTTGTCTTGGCGGTGATGGACTCGTTGAAGGTACTGGGTCTTAGCCGGGACTTGAGCCCCATCTCCTGTAGCTCCCATCAGACTTACTCGGTTCTCAGGATCTAGGGATGTGGAGACAACCCTCTGTTAGCTCTGCATTCCCTCGTTTCCAAGGATGAATTGCAAGCTTCCCAGACTGTACGTAGGAGTAATCTGTGCGGGGAGGATTGGACCCTCTGTCATTGACAGAGATGCCTGAATTGCTTTTGCAACCTCGCATCTGGCTGCCTGAATGAAGAGGAGGAAAGCAGCCGAGTGAATGCTGACCTTCCATCTTATTTGATATCCAAATATACCCAGTATGATCAGCTGAGAAAACTTCCAGCTTTAGCACTTGTCAGTACATACGTTTTCATGATACATATGTTTACTTATGAAAAGAAATGTATTCTTTGCATTTTGCATTTGATGATATGTTGTCTAGGTCAGAAGTTGATAGGATATATGTTGCTAGGGAAATCTGATAAATGGTCTTCTATATACGTGTAGTATTAAAACCTTTCTGCAGGAATATAGGAACACAACATGCATAGGCAGCAGCGTTCTCTGCAGGGAACGACTTAATAATTCTGGTTGTCATTGATTTGGTGGGCCCTATTTGTTTTATTTCGCTTACGTGATTTGCAAATGATACACTGATGAATTGAATGTTGCAAATTCTGTTTCTGCCCCTAGAGGGGAGTATTGTCCATAGCTCCGCTTTTAAATGATTATTTTTTTAATTATTATTTTTAGTAAGAGCACTGTGGTAAAAAGCACTAGCAAATATGCTTTGTATTTCACTAACCTGTATAGAAAACACCTTTGTGAATGGAGGTAAAAATTGATTCTTTCCCTTTAAAAACTTAAAAGATATTTAGTTTATCTTATCTGAGAAATAAATGTTGTAAAAAGCATGAAATTTCTTTATTCCATGAAACTATTCTGAAAAATGAGGACAGTGATTTAAGCAACCTTTTCCAGCTAAGAAGAGAAGCAACATGTCTCAGTGAGCTGCATTTTTTCACTCAGTAGGAACTGGCTGTAAAGACAGAAGCTTTGATAAACTTTGCTGTAGAGCGCCAGAAAAAAAGCTGCAAAGAAGCCAGAAATTGTGTGAAGTAAAGCATGCTCACTAAGAGCTAAACTTCTGGACCATAAATTAACTTTTCTTCAGCAGCTCATAGGCTTTTTTTTATGATTTTCTATCAGCTTGTAGATACTGAAAAATCTTTGTGTGTCATCACAAGGGCTAGGCTCCTTAGAGCCCCATTCTTACTGTCATTTTGAAAGGACCCCAAACCCCTTTTGCTTCCACCAGGCATCTGATACAGTTTGGATTTTTAATATGACATGGTCATATATCTGAAGAGTGTACAGATTTTTCCCGTGTTATTATGGTGACTGAAGGTTGCCAGAGATCCTGAGAGTGTTTATGGTTAAATCTGTCGCATTAATCTGCAAATGCATAATTTATCAGCTGGAGAATGCAGACATTTGTCAGTATGATGTTAAGAAACTCTAAAATTTTTAGTTCAGCCCGCCTGGAAGATATTTAAAATTCAGCAATGTGTAGGATGGCTATCCACTTGATGGCAGCATAACCATGCTGCTTGCTGTTCTGTAGCAAATACACAGGCCTATCTAGGCTGGAAATTCTGCTGCTTACGTTAGCACTCGGCGTTAAAATTGTATGTGCAAGTGTACACATGTCCTGGATGCATATTAGCACAAAGTCTGCTCTTCTATGAAGCACTTGACTAGCAATATAACCATTTTATGCCGTGGAGCTGTTGATTATAAAACCAGCTGACTGGAAGATACAGTGCTGCTTTCAAGACTTCGATTGGGAAAGCTAGGTTTTGTTTGCTTGTTTTTGTTTTTGTTTTGTTTTTTTTTTTTTTTAAGGGAAAATAATTCTGTGAAAAATGTGTGGTTTCTCAAGCGCTGACTTTGCCCGAAGGCAGCCTTTCCCAGATGCAGGTTTGCTTGCGTGCCCCTAAGCAAGGAGTGACCAGCAAATCTACGCTTTAAAATGAACCCTTAGATTTCAGTCAGCCAGCCATCTACATGGGAACATTTCTGTTCAATCTGAATATGTTGTTCTTATTTCAGAGGGAAGATTTCACTTATGCATCCATTTATATTTACAGAAAGACATCTGTCAATGCTTTTGGGCATTGTATAAATATTACAAAACTAATTAGGAGCTATCAAGCCATACAAATATGCGTTTCCTTTCCCCGTGTTAGACTTGCTGCCTTTTCTTTCGTATTCAAGCTTCAAATTGCCTAGAGCTGGAAGAAAAAAAAAATAATTTCTTCACATTGGGCTGAATCTTGCAGAGTGATGAAAAACTGCCGTGGTGGCAAAGACTCTCAGCTGCTTTTCATCATTTCAGATTTTGACAGAGCGAGAGAAAATAGGGATATATGAAGTGAAGGGCCCTTCCCTG